AGACTCTGAATCAAATAATCATATTTGAATCAAACAGAAAGAAAAAACGTATTACATCACCTCTGCCACATTAACGAAAAGAAAAAAAAGCAACCATAATTTGATAAGCAAAAGAGACGACTAAGTGATCATAATATAGACAGAAAATAATTATGGCACATTATGTTTTTCCTTCCACTATACGAATCATCCATAAAGAAAAAGAACAAGGGTGATTTCCAAGATAGTAATACACCTATCTATTATCAGCATATCTAGCCATAAATTGCCACTCTGACGTTTCAAGTTTCCTCATAAACAAAAAGTTAATATCCCTCAGTAGGAAGAGGGAAATAAGAAAGGAGGGAAAAGTCAGAAATGAACGATTTAGGATGAAATGGGGCTTGAAATTACTTCTATTTGTTGATTGACAAAGGAAGGAAAAAGAAAGAATCTGTAATTATTAATTGTTGGATCAACTGGTCGAAAAAATACAAATCCAAATGTGTGCTTTGGTAGGTTAAAGGAAAGGAAAATCCGGAAACTAATGCATTTATTGTAATTCCTTCTCTCCAATTCTCAAAAAATTGAAATGATGAGAAAATGTGGGCTCAAATGAAGGCCCAAATGAAGGAAAGAATGCTTCCTTTTCTTTTTGATTCCTTACAACAAACCAAAAGACCACACTCTTTCCTTTCCATGGTATTATTCCTCTCAAATTTTCCTCCCAACAGAATATTGGTTAATGGCTAGAATATCAAGGACTTATTATAGATGTTAGGAGGATTAAATTTATAGGTACAAAATAATATGATGGTGTACAACATTTTTCAACATCAGTTCCGTGGCAAAGGCTACCTTTCTTAATATATGTGATCAGCAATGAGTTTGTTAACAAACTAAAAAAGATTTTGTGAATTTGTTTAAGATTCTAGGAGGATATAAAAGGGAATGCTCGAAATTAGACACTAGTTTGTTATGTTTGGTTGAAGAGTTATGCCTCAATTTTGAACAACAGACTGTCTGTCCAGTTACTATAGAAAGAGTAGCTTTTTTCTTTTCTTTTCCCTCTACAGCATCAATTTTCGTTTTTTTGAAGAAGGTTCCTTAGCTGAAATGTCCTTGGGATTGGAGATTAGGTGATTTACGAAATCCTGCATATTTGGAACAAAACAGAGTAGGGAAAGACAGCAAATTGAATTTTAAGCCTGCTTCAACTGAAGGTATTAACTGGGTAATCCATCTGAATCTTTCAACATGAAGAGTGTAGGAACATTTATGAGTATCCAACTGTTTAATTTTTGTGTAGAAACATGTCACACAAACATCCAAAAACACGCACAAATAAACACACTCGTGCTCACACAAATAGAGATGCAATTTTGTTAGCTACTCCTATTTTTTGCAAATAAGGAGAATATTACTAGAAAGCAACTATTAGAAAATAAACAACCACAATAATAGTGATACACACAGTAATCCATTACCAACCTTTCTTTGGAAGGTAGAAGCATCATTTGCACCTTTAGGAGATTCACTGCAACAAAAAATTTAATAAAGTGAAAGAAAACACTTAGCAGAAAACAATTAGCCGCTCCAGAAGATAATGAATTTTCACATCGGAGTTAGAGACCGAGAGTTACGATAATGCAGATTTGAAGTGCCAAATAAGTCATTTGCTCCTTACAGTTGAAGCTTATTTCTAGCTGCTCACTGTAGTTATTATGTTGGAAATTCAAACCCTTAATTCTGAAAGGAACCTCTATTTATATTTATCAGCTAAGAAGAAAAGGAAGTACAAACTAAGTCACACGCCTAACATGTAACTAAAAATGGAATGACACAAATAGGTTTGTTTCCATCCATACAGGAAGCAGAATGCCTAGTAATGCTCTGCACCAATATGGTTGAATAATGAGTCCTCCACAAAAGGGAAGCAGCTGTGTAAATCACAAGTTGCAATCCAAAGACATGAGTTAATCTTTTTTTTTTGGAGGAAAAGAATGGCCGATGTGAGATTTTATTAAAAATTGCTAGAGAATAGAATTCATTTTCCTATAAGAAAGTTTCCACTGGGAATTATTGTTTCTCACTAGCAGATGAAACACGGTTAATTGTGAAATGAATAAAGAAGGCACAAACATAACCCATTCTTGGACCTTGTTTGTGAGCTTGGGACTTTAGTAAGAGGATCCTTTGCTTCAGTATCAAAGCTCTTTGACCATGTTGTCCATTGTTCAAATCTCAAACACGCCCTATAACTAATTAAATTTAAACATCATGTAGATGCAGTTGTTCACGATTGAAGCACCATAGGCTTTCATATGAGGTAATGTGTTAGAGATATTAAACTCAGTTTTAGACCCTTCTCTACAAACGATTCTTTGAAAACAAATGAAGGTAAAAGTTAAAAGGAAACTTATACTCTTTTGCTAACTTAGTTTCATATTGAATTAAAAATATCTTCCTTGCCTCAAGAAAATAGCAGAAATTTATTTTATAGCATTTGGAGTACGCTAAGGAAAAACAATTACTGTCCTAAAAGTATAAAACCATGAGGGTAGCCCATGAGAACTCTACATTCAAATATCCTTGTAGAAGACACTTGAATTTGATCTACTTGAATAAAAGAGGAAATATGCAAATAAAGGTCAATTGCAGTAGCTTGTACACAAGTCAATCAATTGGTGCATACCTATGCAGATCTCTGGAACAGTAATAACAAATAGTTACTACTCTAAAATCTCTATCACAGTTGGAATTTTCTTTCATTTTTGTTTAGGGGAAGCGCATGGGTTGTGAGGAGAGGAGAAATGGTGTTTTTGGAAAAAAAATTAAAAGATAATCTTTCAATAAAGAAATAATAAAATATTTTTTCATTTCGCTCTTTACAATTGGATACATTTGAAACTAATTTTCAAATTATGGTATAATAGTCTATCTTAGAAGGTTTGGATAAAATTTCAAGTTCAAGAAAAAGTCTTTTTTTTTTTTATTATTTATTCATCATTATTTGGCCTAATAATAATCCACATCTCCCTTGCTAAGTAACATTATATTTGGCCATCTAGATGTTTCTAATCATGCAAAAGAAGGTTTTGGTGAGCATACATATCATATTTCATACACAAGAAACTCGTCTTAGCCTCTTTTTATACAATTCCTCCCTCTTTCTATCACTCTCACTCTCATCAATTTTAATTTGAAAGCCAATAAGTTTCTCTAGGTGTGTTCTTCAAACTTGCTTTCCAGCATATCCCAAATAGTTTGGAAGTAAGGCTCAATTCAGTTGAATTAAACTCCCAATTGGATTAAGGCTTTGTATACACATGCATACACAAAATCCTGATAAACTTCCAATTGTGATTCCTATTTTTATTCATTTGTCAATTAAGTCATTTGTTTGTCCTATCCATGTATATGGGAACATTGAGAATGGAACCATATAGGCACACATTAAGACGCAAGTTAAGGATTATGATAGAAGGAAACAAGATTGCAACCACGTGGATGATAAATTCGGTATATCCTTGAAGAAATCTGGTTAGTAGTTAATTTTTAACTGTTAATTAACATGATAAATAATGCACGTAATGAATGTAAATCAAAGAGGAAACTCAAGGGAGTGGGATTATAATGACGTACCTCTCTCTCCATTTAAGAAGAGCTTCTAAAAGAGGTACAGGAGTATGTCTAGCAACCATAGCCAAGGAATCCAAAACCTGCTCGTAGGCTGGGTCTGACGGTCGAAGGTACTGTCCATCCTGCATTTCTCAATGTAACAGCATAAACATTACTAGAAAATTGTTGGTAGTAAAAGGCACAAGGACACAACATTTGCAACAATGAAAAATCTATGAGTCCGACCATCACATCGAATCTAGAAAGTAATAAAGCAGCATCCCACAAGGAAATTGTATAGTTCTTCTACACCCTAAGCAAGTAGAAATAGTATACATAAGACAAAAAAAAAAAAAAAAAAAAATCCCACAAGGAATTGTATAGTTTATTCTACACCCTAAGCAAGTAAGAAATAGTATACATACAGACAAAAAAAAAAAAAAAAAAAAAAAAAAAAAAAAAAAAAAAAAAGCACAATAATCACGCAATTAGCAATATATCCATGAGTCTCTTCTCCCAGCCCGCAAAAGTAACAAAACCATGTACTTCTATTTGCACTTTCTGCATTCTTGATCATGCACCAAATATGGAGACCCAATCTTACAAAAACATCAAAATGTATTAAAAAGTTCAAAACTTCAACTAAATACAAAACAATGGAATAAAATTCTAAGAGATAATTAAAAATTACAGACCTGAGCTTGAGCTGTTTCGATGCGGCGCCTGGCCAGAGGAAGGAAACGCTGCAGCAGCGCATCAACAATCAGCTTCGCAGCGCTTCCAGCTTTCATCTTCGTAGTAATTTACTATGCGCTTACAACAAGAATCACTCTCAAATGCCCGAAACACGAAAACTTAGACCCATCGCCCGTGAATTACGAGAAACTACAAGAAAGAAAAATCCATTAATTGATGAAAAATGAAAAAGGATGGATTCCGAGGAAGAGATTGTGAATGAAGATTAAAGAGGGCGGATTCAATTGCAAATGAGTGGAAGAGAAGAACCTGAAAAGTTCAGGGTTTTGGTAAATGATTGCTTGAACTTGAAGCCATTGCCAGTCTGGGATGATCTAGTACGAAGAACAGGAGCTGTGAAATGTGTTTCTGCTTCGTTTGATCGATTTACGGATTTAGATGTAACCTTAAACGGTAGCTCGTTTAATCCTTTTGGATTTCCCTTATGCTATTCTCTGACGGGTAAATTGGGTTAATGTCTGTTAGACTGTTACCCAACAAAACAAAATAAATTAAGAATATTTGCACTTGTAAAGTGAGAATTATCACCGTTAAATGGTCCAAAAGCTCAAGAACAAGTTTTTTATTCATCAATTACAAGCTCAGGGCTAAATTCGTCTTCACGGGCTTATCATTGCGCCGGGTCTTCAGTCTTGGGAGAAAAGCCCATATCCGTAAACTCAGAAACACCCGACCCACCCATTTTACCGCCTTCAAAGTAGAGATCTGTTAAACACTCCTGGTGGCGTGTTGGCTTCCACCATCACTCTCCTCTGTCTCTGCGAGTTTCAAAAGCGGTAAAAATGACTACCGCCATGGGACCTCCACCCCCAAGAAACCCCAATCCACAATCATCCTCTACTGGCGCCGCTACCACAGAACCGGAACCTAAAATCCTCGACACACCTCAAAACTCTTCCACAACAACAATGAAAATCGCCATGGGCCCACCTCCACCGCCGGCCCCAAAAAACTCTGACATTCCCGAACCGGAAACTGTCGAAAAAACAGAATCGAATTCGCTCAATTCCGATACGACGCAACTCAAGGAACAAATCGCGAAGCAGTCCTCGGTGCCTTACACCATTCCTGAATGGAGTGGGCCTCCTTGCCATAAGTTTTACCTTGAAGTTCTCAAAGATGGTTCCATTGTTGATCAATTGGACATGTAAGTGTTTTTAACATTCAATTCTTCATTATTTTTAGTGCTACTTAAATTCAATCAAAGAAAAGTTACTGGGAATTATGATCAACTTCAATTTTTTATGTTGAAACTTTTGCAGTTGCGAGAAAGGGGCTTATATGTTTGGGCGTGTAGATCTCTGTGACTTTGTTCTTGAGCACCCAACCGTTTCTCGCTTTCACGCCGGTACTTGCTTGCTCTTTTATTTATTTATGTTTTCTTCTAGATTACAGTCATTATGTAGTTAATCTGTTGGGTTGAATTTGTCTAAGTTAGTTCTCGTTCATTGAAGTTGTGATCAAAGGTCCGTTAGGTGATTGAGCCCCGATATGTTGAATCCTTGTTGAGTTTGAAATGTAACTGGAAACTGTGATCAAATAGTGCTCTTATGATGCCCAAAGCTGGAACTTAGGTTTGCCATATTAGCTTGCTGCATCTCATTTTTTATGTATGTAATCCTTAAAATAGGAAATTATGAATGCTGCTGCGAAGACCACTGGTGCTTTCAGTCAATCTTCTATAATATTCTAGGTACCTGCCAAAGCTGCCTATTAGGTAGCTCTGTATCCTATGCAATGGCCTATAACTGTGTACAACTGGCTACAGACATCCAAAAGCCAAATGAAGGATTATGAGAATTTTGTACTCCCATTGCTGTCACTGGGCAAGGTTTTTGTTTTTATTTTTTAGTGACTGTGTTGGGTGTTGTGAGCTGAAGCATGATCAATAAGAAAACTCTAGTGAATTTGTCGAGACCTTTTAATAGATATCAGGTAGCCGGCAAAAGAAATGATATAAATTCTATTTCTCTTTTAAATATACTTTTCCTCCTTGATATGTCAATGTTTAACTTAAGTATTACCTGGATTCTATTAGATATGAAGTGTGAAATATGCAAGATGAATTAGTGTCTTATGATTATGATTGCACTGATGTGCTCGTTATGCTTTTGGTTAATATTTTCTACTCTACAAATTCTGATGATGCACAATATATTTGGGAGCTCTCTTTTGTTGAAACTTGGAGATCGACGTTTAGAAGTCTAAATGACTTGATGTTCATCATATGATTAATTATATCTCTTTGTTAGTTCTACAGTTCAAAAGAAGTGGAGATGCCTACCTTTATGACATTAACAGCACGCATGGTACTTTTGTTAACAAGTGCCAGGTATTACCATGCAACAGTTAATTATTATTATTTGAACTATTGGCATTGAAGTATTTTTTTAGCATTTTAATATATTTAATTCAATTTAAAGGGTGTCTGATGTAGGGGTGGCCACTTTACGATTTTTAGAATCGGAACCACGGGTTTGGAACCGGTGAGAACCGGAGGTCTATGGTCCAGTTCTGGTTTCAATTTTTATTTTTGAGGAACTGTGAATCGCCGGTTCCAAGAACTAGCTGGAACCGGTGGTTTTTCCGACCGGTTAGAACCGGCAGTTCCAACGGTTCGAACCGACAGTTCTACCCGGATCCAACAATTTTTTTTATTTTTTCAAACATTTTTGTGAAATCTCCAAATTAACCCTCCTAACAACTATATAACGACTAGTTTTAAGGGTATTTGTGGAAAGTTGATTTTTTATATTTATTATAAATACCCCTTATCATTTAAAAAAAAAAAATTAAGTTCAAGCCTTTTTCTAAAAAAATAAATTAAGTTCTAGCCCATTTTTTAAAAAAAAATAAGTTCAAGCCTTTTGGTGGCCACTCTTCACGATTTTTAGAATCGGAACTCATGACTTCTTATTCTCTCTGGTAACCAAACCACGAGCTCCAGAAAGCGGGTTCTTGGAACGCGCGACAGGAGAAAACCGCTTCAGATGGAGGGCCATCTATGGTCCAGTTTCCTGTCTTACGGAATTTTTTCCATTTTGAGGAACTGTCGCAATCGCCCTGGGTTTTTCCAAGATAGACTAGCTGGAAAACCGCGATTGGTTTTTTGCCACCGAGCTCTGAGTTTAGATCCGCGCAAGATTCCAAAGACTGGTTAAATCACGAGATGACCATCGGACAGGTGGACCTTCTTATACCCGGGCTAACGCTGTACCTAACAATGTTTTGTTTGTCAATTCTTTAAAAGACCAATTCCTATTGGTAAATCTCCAAATTTAACTCCCTGCCGAACGAGCCTACTCACAAATTCGGTACGTCCAAGGTGCCTATTGAACACGAGCATACCTAGTGAGCTGCTGATAAGAACCTACCGTTGTGTATACGCCCCGAGTTTAGAAAGTATTTGTCCTGAAGAAAGTTGATTTATTTGTTATTCCTATATAATATAAATTTCCCCTACTTTAAAATTCATTAATGAATTCATATAAAAAAAAATTTAAGTTTTAAGCGTTGTGTTTCTCTAAATAAAATAAAGTTATAAGTATCTAGCCGAATTTTTTTTCAAAATCAAAAATAGAACGTCCTTCGTCATTTTGCTATATTTAAAAACCCACGATTCCGAAAGTAAAGATTTCCAAGTATTCAATCATGAGAGTGTTCCTTACACCGTGTTCTGTTTTGGATTTTTGTGTCATAAATCCTAGATATGTTCTATGATTCATAAATAATTGCTTATACCTATCTACATGTGATTCCAAACACACAGTGAGATTCTTATATCTTGTCTCAAAATCGATCGGATGTACCTATATTAATTACATGTATTCTTGTATTTCACATCTGCATATTAATATGGCTTGTTTCGCTCTATGGTCTAGAAATCGAAATTATAATGGAGTAAAGTGTGGTATGTGAAATCTCTTATCTCTAGCCATCAAACGTGATTGTACCAGGCTATGATAGTGAATTTAGACAACTGGTGGTAGCCTATAACGGGCGCGGCGATATTATCGGTACCACCCTACCTACGTGGAATAAAAAGAATATGAAATTCGTTCCCGCTCTCTGATATATAGATACGGAGGCTCGAATAAAGGTAAGTCCCGAATATGTCAAGAATAACTATTATCCGGATACTCCGGACGCTGGGCGATCCAACACGAGTGAAAGTGCAAATTTAATTTATACACCTATGGACTGGTGTTCAAGGATTATTTACTCACCTAGTTTACTAGTCTCTAAGGATATTTTTTTTCCATGGTGTAACTAGGACCATTGACGCGACACACTCTATATAGATACTCTTTTATCTTTATCGTTTTTATTTTTGCGAAGAAGAAGTTGAAATTAGCGTCCGATATATACTTGTGTGTAATACGTAGTACAATGCACTCAGACTCGCGCTTATGGAGTCCTCACATGCGCCGACTAGATGACGTGTGTTGTTATGAGATCTGTATTTATAGAGTGTGGACCCTGTGAGACCAATATTGTATAGCTTGTCGAAGCCGAAATAAATTCGCGTCGGTGGCGGAGTTTTTCTCACGATGAGTGATGATTTATTTATCTATTAATATCGTTTTTCTTATTTTTTAATGGTATACGGTGGCAAGGGCAAAATACTCATACAGTCCGTGAATAGATTTTCATTATATCAATAATATTTGCCTGACCCACTCTCGCAGTTCACGGGAATGTGTAGTTCAATTCACTATTCATGAGATGCATATTTATAAGATTACCAGTGCTCTTGTAAAGATATAGAAGTCAACAAGAATTATACGGGATAGTATAATCTTACTGTGGGTCCGGCTAAATAGCCAATGATAATTAGGGACAGAGTGTGACAAGATAAGCGCGGTACTAAAACAGGTGCGAAGTGACTGCTGAGTAATTAGAAATCAGTGCATAAACTCTAAATGGTATACTATTGGATTCGAGAGGCTTCATCTAAAGTCCAATTACGCGTAGAGACCAAGAGTGTACTCAAGCTGGACCAATAGCAAGCATGTGAATTCGAGAAAAAAAAAAAATTAAGTTCAAGCCTTTTTCTAAAAAAATAAATTAAGTTCTAGCCCATTTTTTAAAAAAAAATAAGTTCAAGCCTTTTTTTAAAACAATTAAATTAAATTCAAGCCTTTTTTATTTTTTCTTGAAGTTTTTTCTAAAACTTATTTCATAAATATTTAAATTTTCAATTCTCAATAAAAAATTGTTCCCTAATTTTTGATTTTATAATTATGCGATTTGCCGGAAAACTAGTTGGAGAATCGGCCGGAACCGTCGGTTTTGGAACCGTTAAGAAACCGTAACCGGAACCGTCAATTTCCGGTTCGGTTTCAGTTCCAGAATTTTTGGAACTGGAACCGTCAGTTTCGGAACTGAAACCGACGGTTCCGGAACCATGGCCACCCCTAGTGTGATGTATGTGTAAGTGTCAGTTTTTCAATGAATGTATTATATTTTGCGTGTTTCATTATCTAAATGAATGTGTCATTTATATTAGTCATTAAGTTGTTAAATAAAAGTCAGTCCTTCTATAATGAATTAGTTTCTATAGTCTTGTCCTGTAACAGAAGTTCTTCGAAAAGCACACAGATAGCTCATAAGAATGACATAGGAAAAACTGTTAAAATACCCTCAACCTTTCAAGTTTTTGGCATTGAGCCCTCAGCCCCTCATTGAGACTTCTATTTTACTGAGCCTTCCAACTAGTCAATTTAGTGTTATTGAGTACAATTCATAATGGATATCAGGAGAGTGGGACACATGTTGTTTGCTGCAAGAATTGGGGGCTAATATAAATTTTGTTGTCAAAATTGTAAGTCTGTTGCAACCATTGATGACAAGAGACGAAATTCAAAATTACTGAATATTAATTTCTGTTCACATTAAAAGTGCTTTCTTGATAATTCATAATTCTATTGTGAACATTAACTTTTGTTTGCTTTATTAACAACTAATTTATTTTGAACCCTTAGAATATACTCAATAGCATCAAACTGGTAAGATGGTGAATTCAATCTTAAACAAAAGAAAGGTCAATGGTTCAATAGAATAAGAGGGCTCAGTAGCAAAATCTCAAAAAACTCTGGGGCTTTTCATTTTTGTTTTTAAAAATAAAATTACATCAGGTTTTACTATTTCATCCATCATGTGAAAGAGATCCCATTATCCTTGGCTTCGGTGATAAAGTGATATGTTCTCTACTTCCCAATTAATTGAAGGTTCCTGCAAAATAGGTGGTTGTTTGTTTGTTTTTCCGATTTTGTTTTAATGCTTTTGTTATATTATTGGTGCTCAATTCCTTTACGTTGTTAATTCCTTTTCCTTTTCTGTTTATCAGGTTGAGAAAAGAGTTTATGTGGAATTGCATGTTGGTGATGTCATTCGGTTTGGCCAGTGAGTATCTTTTTACTTTACTTTTTTTCTTTGCCTATTCTTTTGTATCTTTCTTCCTTTCTCTTCTGATCAATAAAAGGAACCAAAGGAGTGGCACTGGCACCCATGTATTTTGAGTATGGCCTTCAAGCACCTCCAACAAAGCTATCCCTGAAGTTCACATAAGCAAAATGAATATAAATACAACTGAAAGACCTGTCCAAATATGTCTAACAACTTATTTTATGACATTAATTTATCTTTATTGACATTCAATGGAGATTCTATGTTTTATCTTTCTTTGTGTGTGCATCCCCCTTCCTCCAGAAAAAAAAAAAGCTCGAGTAGCTCACAATTCCCTCTCTTCTATGTTCTATAAAATAACTATTGAAATTGCTTCTCGTGTTTTATCCCTACAATGACAAATCCTCCAAGCAATAAATTTTATCTCCGTATTTTCACATTGATCTCACTGATCTCAATGGTAAATCTATTTTTTAAGCAGTTCTCTAGGTTAATTTCCCTTTCATTATCCATTGCCCTTGCTTGTGACAAAGGAGATGTCTATTGCGAAGCATTTTGCCCGTCTCATTGCACTTTCATCTTCCATGTAGTTTTCCCAAAAAAAAAAAAAAAGTGCTATTTCCTTGATTCTCCTTGTCCTCCAAATAGTTTTCTAGGGTTACCTTTTAAATAAATGAATAATTTTCTCCTTTAGTCAAATTGGTTCTTTTTTCCCTTCACTTCCATTGTCACATTTCATTGCTAGAAATTCGAATACCAGTATCTTGAGATTTTAGACAATCTCAGTGGCATGTTGTTCAGCAATATTTGTGCTACTATGTCTTTGATTCTTATGGGTTCACATATTCATTGTATATGCTTTATATGTTCTACATTTTAATATTACAGGAAGAGAACATGTGGTACGTTATTAGAACTGTTTGCACATGTTTATCATATGTATTTCTGATGATATTTTCTGTTTTTTCTTGTACAGTTCCTCTCGATTATACATTTTTCAAGGACCACCTGAATTGATGCCACCGGTAAGACTGTTGTCACAATGCAAAACCCATAATTATGTAATGATTAACTTGCACTCGAGACTTCTTTCTGTTTATGTTAAAACAGCTCATATTATTATCCTCAAAAATGTTTTAAAACAAATTCCCATTTTCATAAAGTGTTAATGTATGTGCATCTGCCAAGAAGAAAATGGCTAAAATTTCTAGTTTCAAAGATCAACTAAAAGTATAAATTCGCGGAAGAAACATGCCAGTGAGCCAGTGTCAGATGTTCTATGTCTCTTGCAGAGATTTTTTTGTCTTCTATCGTTATAATTGTGTCATGATTTCATGATGTCTATGCATGATCCGCTATAGTTTATCATGTGGATTTATGTTGTAGGAAAAAGACTTGAACATTGTCAGAGAGGCTAAGATCCGTCAGGAGATGCTTGATCGGGAAGCTTCACTGCGACGAGCAAGAGCAGAAGCATCTCTTGCTGATGGTATCTTATGGGGCATGGGAGAGGATGCTATTGAAGAAGATGAGGTTGGTGGTATATATTAATTTGGCTGTATTTTGCTGGAAATATCATTATATCCTGTCTACTACTGTTCTTAATTTAGCCATCACGCACTTATAATATAATATTGTTATTATCTGCTCTACAATAAATGTAACATATGTAGAGCTGGCAATTTTCGTCATTAACTTGCTTAAACAATGCGACATGAGATTAAATTAGGTGGGTTTAGCTTATACTTACGGGTCATAAACTGGTCAATCCGTTTATGACATGCTTCAAATCGTGTCTTAAGCAGGTTGACCTACCTAATCCGAATAAACCTGCAATAACCCGTTTAACTAATTGTGTAGGTAACAGATGATAAGCGAGAAGACTAAACCTATTAGGAACCATTTAATTTATACGACAATTTTTAACCTTGTGAAGAATTCATGATAACCTATTTTTACAGGTTAATTGCATAACCGGTTTCTATTATATTTGTGATCTGCATATTAAACAGATTACGCAGTTGTTGTGTAACCTGTTTAATATACATGTCCATGTTAGAGTTTCAACCCATTTATTTAAACAGGTCTTGTTTGGATTGAAAATTTTTTAGTATATCTACGTGTTAATGCTACCTGTTTATGATGCAAAAAAATGAATTTGCAGTCCTAAATGTATTATATACAATTGTTAGCGAACACAAGGAGATTTTATTTTCTTTCTCTTGAAAGGGAGCTTTACTACTATCTAATGTGCTTGCTCAGATCTTCTGATATATATCAATTTCGCTTTTGTTTAATGAGGAAAGTTGTCCTTGAATTACATCTACCATTTCTGCTAGACTTTTTGTGGTATGGATTTGAATGCTGATAAATAAATCATCCATCTTCCATAATTTTGGTGTTTGGATGTTTAGGATGATGGAGATGAAGTCACTTGGCAAACCTACAAAGGACAACTTACAGAGAAGCAAGAGAAAACCCGTGATAAAATAATCAAACGAAATGAAAAGGTGAGTGGTTTTCATTTTATATGGCCCCCCCTTCTCCAGTGAATTAATGTCTGATGTAACGATGTCTTTATTTCTTTTACACCTTAGGCTACTTTGTGGCTATGGCTAGCCTTTATATGCCCTTAGTTTATGTTTAAGTATATTCAAAAATGAAAAATAAGTTTCAACACACATTAAACTCTCTCTGTCTCTTGGATTACATTCACTGCTGTGACTGATCATCTGAACAGCATTCTACTTGTAAATATCAGTATACTTGATTGATAGAGGATAAAGTTTTCATTACATGATAATTACTTATAGATATTGAAAGCTATAAAATAATAGAAATAATGGTTAACAGGAATGTCGCTTGAGATTAGAAAGGTCCTGGGTTAACAACTTCTAAATAGAAAAAACCGGTCATATTTTCACAGTGAATTCATTATTCAATGTTGGACAAAAGTATTCAATATATTTAATAAACGATAATGACTTAAATTGTACAAAAACATATTTCCAGAGCTAAAGGAGGAAAAGATGCAAAACCTATGTACAATTATGGAACAAATATATGATAAAGAAGGCTTGAGTAATTGAAAAGATGAAGGAGAAATATACATAATAATGCTCCCAATGTTGCTAGGAACAGCAAGAGAATATCATTTATGATAGTCTCTGAAAATCTTTTTGTTTTTCTCGTGTTTCTCACACTAATTTATTGGTTGAATTTTGTTACAAAACATATTCTTGGTTGCAGATTGCTCATATGAAGAAAGAAATAGATGCTATTCGTGCTAAAGACATTGCTCAAGGTGGGTTGACACAGGGGCAGCAAACTCAAATTGCTCGTAATGAACAAAGAATGACACAGGTAAATGCCGGTGTTTTCTCCCAAGAATTGTCTGATGGTCCCTTTTTTTTTTCTTGGAGAGGGAAAGTCCCTTGTTCTCTCTCTCTCTCTCTTCTGGATGTTATTTTCTTGTGTCTGTTAATAGATCCTGGAAGAACTGGAAAACTTGGAAGAGACATTAAATGAAAGTATCAGAGAAAGTATTGGTGCACGTGCTGGAAGAAGATCTGGTGGTATGAGAAAGGGAACAGCAGAAGATGATGAAGAGTTGTCAAGGTACTTTAACATTACAAAGTTTCTTTGAGGAACAGACAATTTAAAGATTCCTAAATGATGTGAAATTTCATGATTTTGTCCCTCACCTATTGAATCATCTGCATGGTTTTTTATTTGGACTATATGATTCAGTCAACTGTATATATGATGAGTTTCAAATGTTTGATAAGGTCATATCACATCGAATTCCCTGAGGTTTAGCAGTGATTTCAATTCAGGATAACCTTTTTTAGAACAAATCCCTCCTCACAAATGTGCGATGTGATTAATTTGGAGGAGAGATTTTTCACTTCAAGAAAAATTATACAGAAATGGTGGAATTGTTATCTCAAAAAAAAAAAAAAAAAAAAAAAAAAAAAACTGATGATGTAAGATGTTTGTCAAAGTCTCATCCCATTCTCTTGGTACTTTAACTATTACAAAGTTCTCCCTGTTGAGGAACAGACAATTTAAACGATTCTCTTATCTCACTAATGATGTCTTTGAATATTCCATAGTTACTTGCCCTCACCTCATCCTGATTGAATCATCTGCATGGTTTTTTATTTGGACTATATTTGATTCAGTCCAACTTGTATATATGTATGAGTGTGTCATAATGTTGATTAAGGTCATATCACATCGACATCTCCTTGAGCGTTTAGTAACAGTGATTCAATAGCGGTATAACCTTTTTTTTATAGAACATCCAATCACCTCCTCACCAAGATGTGCCGATGTCAGCTCCACTACCCACCTAACTTCCTCATCCCCTCCATCAATAACCTCCTTGTGATTAATTGGAGGCCGGAGGAGATATTTTCACTTCAGTAAAAACTCTCACTCACAGAAATGCGCAGATGGAATTGTCTCACTTCTCCAATAAAAAAAAAAAAAAAAAAAAAAAAAAAAAATTCCCTCGCCACTCTGCTCTGATTATATTACGCTCCACCTTCAAACAGCTTAGGAGTAATTACTCCCCATAAATGAAATATCGCACATTCTATAAATATGTAATGGTTTTGTCTTTTGTTCTTCTCAGTAGTCGAATGAATTCACACGGACAAAAAGCCCATGCAAAAGTCCAATACATTGAAACTGCTTGATACTCTTCTTGACAAGACGTAGATTCATCTCGAATAAAGTAAAAGAAAAGCACCGCACGCCTCGTCTCCTTCGACTGGCAGAAACATAAAAATATCACCAATCTCTGACCAGACACTGAACTGGTGAAGATATTTCGATGCTAATGTACGGCCTCGGGGATGAAAAAAAAAAAAAAAAAAAAAAAAAAAAAATCCTGATCTGTGATATAGCTAACCTCAACAGCTTAGGAGTAATTTACCCCTTTAATATTGATTAATTATGCACATTTATAAATAGTTAATGTTTGTCTTTTTGTTCTTCTCAGTGACGATGATGAATTCTATGACCGGACAAAGAAGCCTTCAATGCAAAAGGCGAGTGCAAATCAATCAGTTGAAACTGCTGATACTCTTCTTGACAAGAGAGATTCCATCCTGAAGGAAATGGAAAAGAAAAAGCAGCTGCTTTTGATTGAGAAAAATAAAATATCATCTGAAACTTTGGAAGAAACTGAAGCTGGTGACGCTCTTGATGCTTACATGTCAGGGGTGTCATCACAACTAGGTAGGGAATCACTGCATTTGTAAAATAATCCAGATAGTATATCCTTGAAAAGCATTTTTTATCTGACTTTTGTTGCCGATCTCCTTGTTAGTGCTTGATATGGAGAAAAAGTTGTCTGCTCTCCAATCTGAACTGGATAGGGTCTTCTTCCTATTGAAAATTGCTGATCCATCAGGAGCAGCAGCTAAGAAAAGGGATTCAAGAGTGGAAGAAGTGAATTCTGATAAATGTAAAGCTGAAGTACCTTCTGCTACTACTAAAAAGCAACCTGCTGCAGAACCAAAGAAAAGCAGTGGGATGGGAGAACCCATAGCTGCCTCTTTGATGAAAGAGAAAACTCCAGATTCCAGGGTTGGTGCCAAAGAATCAGAAAAGAAGCCAGAACCTGACAAGATTGCCATCAATGCACCTGATGTTAAACCTGCTGTTTATACTGTTGTGAAGCCTCAATGGCTTGGTGCAGTCAATGATACAGAAATGAAAGAGATCAAACAAGAAGTATTGAATATAGATGACTCTGACGAGTTTGTTGATTACAAAGACAGGCAAAAAATCCTGATAAATTCTGATGGTGCACAAGGCAAGGACGATTCTGACCTTGAAAGTGCTGCTCCTGGTCTGATAATAAGGAAGCGGAAAGAAACTGAGGAACCTGGAGACGATGGTAAAAAGGCTACTGCTGAACAGTCCATAACATCCTCTATGGAAGCTGAGCTTACAGCAGAAGATGCTGTAGCATTGTTACTGAAGCATAAAAGAGGGTATCATGCAGAAGATGAGGGAGGTGGACATCAAAGCCAAGAGAGAGGCAGAAGTCAACATAATAAAGATAGAAAAAAGCAAAAAAGAGTACTTGGTCCTGAGAAACCATCATTTCTCAACAGCAATTCAGATTATGATTCCTGGGTGCCTCCTGAAGGTATAAGCTCCCTCCCTCCCTCCTTCCAGTGACAACTTCAAGTTTAGGCGTAACACTAGTTGCTGAATTCATAAACTGTTATCATGCATTGAAAGTTTGGCATTTCTTGTTATTACTTTAAAATTGATATTCTATGCAGGACAATCCGGTGATGGGCGAACTTCTCTGAACGATCGATATGGATACTAAGTGGACATGCTTGGCTTTTCGTGATATTTGTCCATGAACGTGATCTATCATGGCGAACATGTTTTAGGAGGAAAAGGCGACACTATGCTCTTCTTTGTGATGTCAGTTATCTGTTCAAATCAGAAGCATCCAGCAAAGTAATGTGATTTTGTTCAGCACTCAACAAGGCAAATATAGAGAGGTGGCTGAAAGTTGCTTAATGTCATCATTGATCTGATTGAATTTGGTGACACTATTTCAAAGCTCTAGGTCGGATACATACATCAGGGATTATTTCTTGAAGGATATGGTTCCGAGATATATACCTCTTTGTATTTGATCTTGTCATGAAGCATTTTTATATACTCCGGTGCAGAATCAAACCATTGTACTGACTGATACTCAAGTCTCAATAAAAAGATCTCTCCACTGTACATGAAGCCCAGATTCTGAAACTGTATGCCCTGTTTCCTTTCACTGTCCAGGTAATAATATCCATGCATCAAATAGGTAGGGACTACTACAGTATGTAACCCAGCGGGGAAATCTCTACCTGCAAATTTCTGCTGAGGGATGAAATGCCGGAATGGAATTTAGGTTATCTCATTGACAATTTATCACTTTCAATATTATTCACTTCAAACATTAGCTAACAATGCACAGAAGTGAATAAATCACACTCGCATGCTGTATCTATGTTTACTTGTAGACAAAAGTTTGTATTTATATATGTATTATTCTCTAATATTTTAGAATTAGCAATTTTGATACCTATTTTAAGTATAGCATTTTTGTTCGTGATGATGAAATTATAAAATTCACTCTATTTAGTTTCTCGTGTTTCAAGGTATATTACACTTTGGTCCTAAAATTTTTATACCAGAATAACAAATGAATCTCTCAAAGAAGTGTACTTAGAATCAAATAATTACTAAAATCGCTAGTAAGGATCAAAGTGTATTAAAATAAATTAGAAATCAATTAGAAATCACCCAGTTCATAATGACGAAGAATAAGACCAACTCGCAGGTTTAAATATGAACCAATAATCTACCGAAACACATTCTATCTAGTCAATAGTTTCTGCAGATCCCTTGTTTTCTTGTGGTTGTGGCTTTGAAAGCCAACTCAGAGTTTGTCACAGAAGTGTGCCTTCACAAATATATTACGAAGTAGATATACTTCAGTTATTCATAATTCATATTTACATTAATGAGGAAAAACATATGGAATAGGCCACAATACCATCACAGATACCGCGGGCAAAATATAAACAACAATAGGAAATACAGTTGATCGCTTCCAGCGAACTTCTGTGCTCTATCAGAATTTCCTCATATTATGCAGGCACGTTAGAATAAGTCTCGACTACATCACAAACTCCATGAATCCTCGATATAGATTGTCAACTAGCGGAGATAAATGCTGCATGATCTTAGCACCAGTTCTTAGAACCACACACATCCTTGCTGATTTGACTCGAGAGAAGCTTACATGCAGGGGACCAAGAACTTACAGCTGCAGAACAAAAGTTCACGTTTGCTATACAATGCGTCATTAGTCAATATGACCAAATGAAGTAGAGACCATACCCAGTGGAGATGTTGGGAACAACTCTAAAGATATATACAGGCACTGCTCAGCTAGTCTCTACTATTAAGCTCTTGTGAGATTGTGGACTTCTCAAATCATGCTCAGATTTGGAAACAGGCCGACACCTATAAAAGTGGTGTAAGTGTAGTTCAACATCAAAAGAAGCCCTCGCAATGGATCAGTTGAAAAAATATGGTGATTCTAACACATCCCGCAGATCAAAGTCTCCTCTTTCAGGTAAAGGAGGAAATGGCAATGTGGGAAAAGATTCCTGAAAGCTCTCCAGCAACTGTTCAGAAAATAAACAGATACATAATTACTTAACATGATAAAAGGAGACAGGAAGACGAGTTCGGATTTGACACAATTTTGCCAAAATTCAAAGAAAAAAAAAAAAAAAGATCAAGAATGGTTCTAATAAACATTGATCAGTATTCCCTCAAATATATACCCAAAATCAAGTGTTGTTTGCAAAAATATCCTTGGTACTGTGCATTTTCTACCTTCCTTTCTGTCTCCCTCAACATTTCAACAAACCCATAACATAAAACTTAAATTGGCATGGTCTCGATAAATACAGGATCTCCAGCAACAGCTCAGCTCAATCTATAGGAAGATTCAGTAGTGGGACACTTACATTCTCCAATATTGGTATTTCATAAAGCTCAACAAACTTTTGCCTAAGTATCCTGTTCATTTCATCCACATCACATGCATGCGTCCAGTATGAATCATGAACTCCTGTTGTCAAGTACCAGTATACAATATTAGAGTCAAAACTAAGAACAAGAAAGCAAATGAAAGGAAAATACAAAATTAAAGGACCTGCGAAGGTTAAGCCTGCCCTTTTGCAGGCAACTGCAGTCATCATCATATGAGAGCCATCAAGTGAGTGAACAAAATTTGGTGGGAAAGCTGTTCTCTGTCGCTTGATCATAATCTGTAATCACAAGACCTCCAAATTTGAGACAAAAACCAGCAATCCAATTTCGGTTCTTTTTTCTCTCAATGTTTTGCTCAGAGATGAAAGCCAGATAATTTAAAGAACCCAAAATTATGACTTTCTCCTATTTTTCTTATAATCATAGTTGGCCCAAAATTTATTCCATTGCAGCTGCACATTTTTACGTCTAGGTGGATAAAAACTATAGCCTATCTTAAACTGAGCACATGTTCAAGTATAATTCAACGTGCTGGATAAATTCCAGACCAGGTTCATAACTGGAGTGCAAAGCCAGATTGTTATTTCCCTTGGGGGAATTCATCATTAACATGTGTGGAAGAGGAATCAATATGCTTAAATATATGATTCAGATCTTTATATAATGTGCACAGCGGACAATCGAAAACAGTAGCATAAGATAACTGAAACACAAATCAGCATAGAAAAAAGGGTCAGGCTACCTTTTCAGTTTCTTGTTGCAGGGTTAAAACCTGTAGGGAAGTTTTTATCTGCAATTTTGAAAGTAGCAGATAGATAACTAGATATGGCCTCATAATCCATTTGAACATAATAACAATAATGAATAACTGATTACGATGCTACAAATCCACAAAACTCACTAGATGTCTTCCTAATTTTCGGTAGGGTTGCACCACAGGAAGTCCTAGAGGAGTTGTCCACCTCACTGGCTCATTTTCAGATGCAATAACCTGATCATCGTCAAGTTATTTAGTAAATAACCAAAACATAAAAAGAAAAGGAATTTGTTAAGTAAATCTTAAAAATATGAATGAGAGAAAAACACCTTTGCGCATTCCCCAAGCCAGCTCATGATACTTCGTGCAGCTTCAAACATCTCCCCCAAGGCAGTTAAAGTCACCTGCTCAAAAGCAGTAAAATACAATATTATGAATGATGCATTTGCTATTTGGTGAGTTGGGGCTGAATAACTGCCAATCTTTCATTTCTACCTTTGCAGCGTAGCAAGATGCACCAAAGATCTCCGATTCATCTGCAATAAAACCACGTTCTTTCAACCTCCTCTTAATTTGATCTCTTGCTCCAATATAAGTGACACCATATACAGATGTCATCACTGTCTGCTTCACCAATTTCCTATCCACCTAGTAAACATCCAACAGCCAGAGTCAACTATTAGTTTGAAAGCCTAAGAAATTACTCACTACATGAAAAATGACAAATATACAATTAGAAGAAAGTAAAAGCTTGTTTGACAGCTAATATAATCCAGAAATGACAGTTTGCTGACAACCTGATTAATTAATGTCTTTGCACGCAATGCATCTGGAAAAACTACAGGATCTTTCTCTGCATCCCTCCGCATGATATTGAGTACCCTACATTACAAATTTGTATTTTTATCACTGTACTGCTTCTGTATACAACTTGTAACACTGTCATGCTCAAAACTCTTGCGCTATAATGCTAGAAACCAACTTACCTAGAGGCTATTCCGGAGTAGACGTCTGCAGGCTTCTCTCCAGTAACCAGATTAACAGCAGCTGCTCCTGACTGTAGAATATTTTCAATGATATCAAAGTGAACCCAGGGCCGTAATTTGGTTAGTATGGAATGGAATAACCTCCATTCCTGATTCCATTCCGTTCCAAATGTTTTTCGAAACTTAAAATTCATTCTTTACCATTTCATGAAAATTTAGTTTGAAATTCGGTAATTCTGAACTTTTCGACTATAAATACAAATCTACTCTGTTGTGGTATATTTCAACATATAAATTATAAAATTTAATAAGGAATAACCAATATATATTTATTTAAATTAAGTATTAATAGGAATCACAGTTAAATTGCAATAAAACAGCAAATTAATATCTCATATAACTAAAGATTCAGTTCGTTAATGAGAAATGGGTATATATTTTCATTTGACAATTTTCATTTAATTAATGGTAATGAAGTAATAACTAAGATATAAATTAGAAAGTTGATATGATTATGAAATTGATATAATAAATTAGACAAGTTGAATGATTATGAAATTGATATAACATGTAAATCTATTTTCATTATTATGTATATCATTAAGTTAAATAATTATATATACCACAGTATAAACTGTAAACACATATATTGTTATCCTAAGATCAAGCTATATACATAATTGTTTCCTACTTTACATTCTATTAGGCATAACGACAACAAAACCCAACATAAAATACATACAGATATAAAGTAAAAGAAAAGCAAGAAAACATATCATGAGAAAATTCATATTTGAAAAATTTTCAAAGTTTTCAGTCAACATTGTTGATGCAGGAAGCATCCAAGTTAAACTAGAGAGTCTTTAGTTTCATTTTTTGTTAGCATTCCTATATAGTATATATATTAATTAATTAGAAACATTTCAATTTTGTTCTTTATTTAAATTATCATGAATTTTAGTATTTTATTATTAAAATGTACAAATAAAAACTAAAAAAATAATAAAAATAAAATTTCATAATAGATTGGAATATGAAATTTTTTATTAAGTTCCATTCGCATATCCAGTACCAATATCTTAAGAAAGAATTCCCATTTTACATTCGAATTCCGAAATTCCATTCTAAATGTAAAATTTGGTTTAGAAAGATATTATTATTCCAAACCAACTTACACTCCTAAGTTAACCCGTTATTTTTCAACAAAAAAAAAAAAAAAAAAAAAAAAAAAAAAAAAAAAATCAAAAAATCAACAAATCGTGTTGCCTTATTCTATGCCATTTCTATAATATCATGTTATAACATTTGTAATCTCTCATTTTGTTTTTATGTTTTATCTATTTTGTATAGCTAATTTTTTTTATTATTGTTTTTATTTTAACAAAATCCATATCTTTTTCATTCCTTTCTATTTTTTTTTGTTTGTTGAGTGCTTTCATCACGGTAAGCCTTCTCTTACCATATGTGTGCGGGTGGTGAGTCTTTGGGGTGTGTAGCAGCATTAGTTTGTAGGCCATTGCAGAACCATCGCTACAGTTAGAAACCAAGACACAGCCGAAAGGGTATGTCTCAATACAAGTTACGACACCAAACCAGGTAGACACAGCCCAATCATACATGAGCCTCTAGAAAACAGCAATCACAGGTTTCCACTAGAACAAAATAAAAACCAACAAGATAGGTATTTGTACTTTCCAAGCAGAGAAAGCTTTTTGTTCTTCCTGATTTGATTCCCCTATCATTTTCAACCTACTTGTTAAACATGCAAGAGTACTTTGAGTCCAACTAGAGTATATAATCAAGCAAGACAAATCATAACAATGTCCCAGGCGAACTTGATGCTGAAATCTAGACTCAAAAACTTACACACCAATCAAGCTTTTATTTACCCTGAGCTCGGCCTCCTTAGACATCTATGTTCACAATCCAGCTAGTACTTCTAACTTAATCTAAGAACTCCACAAGTTCACAAGAAACAAATCTGACCAATAATTTGGAAAATTTACCTGATGAACAGGGATATGTGAAATAAACGTTCTGGGTTGAGAGACAGCTTCTCAGAGCTTCAGTTAGTTTTAATCCCAGGCACACTCCAGCACTGAAAATGATCTTCTCATGTAACCACCAACGCTTTCCTCAAGAGGTCTGTCTGCAGAATCAAAGTATATCATCCAAGTATTCTCGAGTAAAAGCTATTCGACCATCATATGAGAAACTTGATCTACACCACCAGCAAATAGATTTGCAAGGTGTATCGGTCAGCCAGCGTAAAGCCTGAATTCCTAAAGGCGCCCCTCAGCAAACTCGCAAAAATGCCCCGGCACAGATCTAACCCAGATGTTCAATACGGGTGCATAGATATCACGCCCTCGAAGTCAAGGTATGTGAGATAATAAAATCCTTCTTCATCCTCATTTCCGTCTACCTGAACCAATCAGAACGTTTGGCATAATCACTGCATAGAAATTAAAAATGTTAACTATTGTATTTGAGGAAATGTTCTGACACAAGTTTAATTCGGTGTCACAGCGCTGTGATGCCTTTCCTTGTTCTTCCTTCTTCACACCTGACTCTCCCACGTTCCATTTCTTCGCAGTGCTTTCATTCAGTATCGGGCTCCTCAGTAAAGGAATCCTGCAATGGAAGTCTGGACGTTTGATTTGTTTTCTACTATGGCCTGTTGTGGTGTAAATATTATATACTTTAGTCCCGAAGTTTTTTATTTAAACAACATTTTTGCCATGAGTTTTTTCAAAATGAAATAACTTTTTGATCTCTAAAAAATTAAAACTTGAGGACCAAAATGTTATCCTAAGGCGAGGAACCCAAAATAATGAAAGAATTAACATGTACTATCAAAATAAATTTGAAAGTAGAGGATTATGTAATTACTTTTACAAAGAAGGAAAGTATCTATTTTTTTTTTAAAACAAAATGCAAATTTTGTAATTAATATAAAATATAAAATAAAAATAAGAAAATAACCCAAAGAAATGACGCATCATTTCGGTATCCACCAAATCACAAGCCGTCCTTCCACTATCTCCATATTCTATCTATAACAGCAAGTATCCTCTTATTTATTCCTCCATTTTGTTACGTCCAAGTGTATCCAGAGCCTGGCTTTAATTCAAACAAAATGACCAAAATAGCGTGAAATCTAATGCACACCAAGACTTATAAATAAAGACATGCGCCATTGCTCAAATGTTAGCAACCACAGAGACTTCACTGACAAAAAATTAAATATGCAAAAATAAAAGCTGGCCGCCCAATAATCTAATGTTTACAAACCTCAAACACTGGTTGTAATTTGCTCTTAGAGGTCTGCCCTCACCTGCTTCACTTGTTGCCTTGACACCATGTTGCGCATGGACATAGGATTGCAAGAATAACGTTGCCCTTTGTCAAACTGCAAAAGACATGGAAAACATGTTGACAACACAATTAAAAAAAAAAAATTCAGTTAAACTATTACACAGTTCTTTTAAAAAGTGAAAAATAACATCAAATGCCAGATCCTGATTAGTACAAACATCAATTTTCATAGAATTTGAAACTATCTTTATTATAGTTTTGATGCTGGAAAGGCCATCACTACAAAAAAGCAAGGATTCCAACTAAATGTTATTATCAAATATCGTATTTAATTTTGAGTTGCTCTGAAAAATTCATCAGGAAATGATAGAATTTCTATATGCCATATCAGCTGCGATATAAGTCAACGTTGTACAAGCCCCTACTGTCAGCAAAAGCTTTTCTCTTCCCAGCAAACATGACCAATCCCAGCCGAAAAAAATTAAAAATATGGCAACTATATGATAATTATTATTTATCTGACAGGTAGGTTGTTGAGCCTTCAGAAAAAAAGTAATCCCAAATGCCAGAACAAGGTCCAATTTAACTAGTGTATGACTTGAACATCAGTGTACTAGGTCAGAGCCAAGAGAGAAATCACTTGCCAATCCCAGCATTTTCCTGGGTCACTTCCAAATCAAGCAGAAGGATCTCGATAATAGTTTAACAACTCTTTCTCAACTTACACGATGTTCTTAGAAAAATCTTAAAATCACAAAAAACATACATTGCAAATGTAGAAGCATTAAATCAACTTCTCCTTTCCCCAGTTGCTAGTTCACTTTTCAAAAGGAACTGCAATGCCTTATATAGAGCAACTCAACAAGATAACCAACATTGCGAATTTTTGGAGCTAGAGTTATATCCCTTGTAAATGATCAATACAATGAACGTAGTAACTGAAGGTACCTACCTTCCACTTGCTGTGGATACCAAACATTTGCATTAAGAGGAATCCACCATGTGCCTTGCCTGGTTAGAGAATCAGATTAGTGGCGAAAAAAAAGTTCAGGCACTGTAAAAATCAACTTACTCTTATTCCTTATTGAGCTCTCATATCCAGAAACTATTTTATCAGCCTTAAAATAAGGTTAGTTTTGTGTTGTTGTATAGACTAGAAATGCCAGAATTATTCCCAAGCATATGAATTCGGTTGAATCAATCTGACAAGGATTACTAAAACCCACTTCTGCTCAAGCCTTTCAGAACTAGTGGCACAATGGAATGACACCATATCTTTTCTGCTTGCCCTCCTGTTTCAAATAAAGGACCCAAAGCTCTAACTTAAGCATGGCGAGGAAAGAAAGAATAATTTAATAAGCAAATGATACAAAATAACAATGCACACCTTTCTCCTTGTGTCACCAGTTCTCAATGTGCCTGGTTTGTACAAATGCAGGTCAATATCAGGTGGACCATCAAGCTCTTTGGAAATTTTCCCCAGCAGGAGCGATATAAGCGATGTTCGTATCAGTAGTTCAATCATCACTCTAGCTTCCCCAAACCGTACAATGCTGGAGAAAGATTACAGATCACCTTTACAATGTACCATTATAGTCAGGAAAATTTAAAAAACTCTTTGCTCCACTTAATACATAGTGGATGCATACTTAGCCTTAGCATCCTGGCTCCAAGGTGTTGAATCATCTTGCCCTTCACTATCTGCCTCACTGCAGGCAATTTTTGTTCCTAATCAACAAAAAAAAAATCATTTAACTTTTTTTCTCAACTTCTCTGCTCTTACCATTCATTGGATTCTTCCTCCTGATTTTTCACTGTTTCGATTTTTTTCTTCTTTGTTTTCTCCAAAAACTTGGTTTATTCTGACCTGAAACACCACGGAACAGTTATCAGCAGCCTCAGTTCAAGAAATTTAAGAGGA